TGGAATGTCCACTGGTAAAATTCTTTTTTTTTTTTTGGCTTTTTGGGGCCACATCCGGTGATGCGCAGGGTTTACTCCTGGCTTTGCACTCAGGAATTACTCCTGGCAGTGCTGGGGGGACCATATGGGATGCTGGGAATCAAACCCGGGTCAGCCGCTTGCAAGGCAAATGCCCTACCCACTGTACTATCACTCCAGCCCCCTGGTTCAAATTCTTTGTAAAACAATATGGACACATTTCAAAATAACAAAAACAAAAACTAATAATTGAGTTTCTAGGTAACCCAGCAACTCCACTTCTTGGCATCTACCCCAAGGTCTAAAAACAAATTGAAAAGACATTTGCATTCCAATTGTGCATTCATTACAGCACTATTCACAACAGGCAAAATTTGGAAACAACCCAAATACCCAAGAGCAAATGACTGGATAAAGAAATTGCGGAGTATATACGCAGTGGAAGAATACTACTCAGCTATCCAAAAAAGAGAAAATGATACAAAATGCCACCACACGGATGGACCCAGAGGGTATCATGCTAAGTGAAGTCAGTCAGAAGGAAAGAGGTAGAATCAAAAAGATTTCTCTCATATATAGGATATCAAAAAACTCAATTAGATAACAACAAATGGCTTAAGGCAAGAGAAACTAAGAGCTGGTCTACAGAACTGAGCCTTCCCAGGAGGGGAGGTATCCTTGGAACAGTGGTGGAGGGAAGCAGGCACTCTGGTGGTGGGTGTTGTACTGGAACTTTGTATGTACGAAACTTTATCATTAACAGTATTAACAGTATTGTAAATCACTGTCTCAGTAAAAATGAAAGGAATTATGTTAGAATTCTTCAGCTTATCTGTTTTATTTGAGCCAGGAGTAACCCCCAAATACCACCAAGTGTGGCCAAAATCATATATATATATGTATATATACACACAATTTCCAGTCTAAACATTAATAAAGGAAAAATACATTTGTGATTGCTTAGGACTGGAGAGGAAAATGGGAAATGAGTGACTTCTACTGGGAGATATTGTTTAATTTTTAATCAAGAATTTATATTTATCAAACCTAGGGTCTCACACATGTAAGGCAAGTAGTCTACCACTGAGCACCAATCTGGGATATAGTTTCTTCTGGGGGGTAACAAAAATGTTCTAAATCAATTATGGTTATTGTTGCACATTTCCATGAATATACTAAAACACATAAATCTTTATAATTAAATGAGCAAATTTTATGACATGTGAATTATGTCAATAAACTTATTTAAAAATAAAACCATGTACAAAAAAGGTGCGGTGCATTATATATACATATATATACATATATACACACACACATATATATACATATATACACACACACATATATATACATACACATACATACATCTGGAATGTAATTCAGTTATGAGAAAGGAGGATAAACGAAAGCTGTGTACCCTTTGTTCTTGCTTTCTTGGAGGTAATGACACTTGATAAGTATTAGCATTAAGTCCTTAAGACCACATGATAAAATAATGTGATTTAGGGTTGGACTGACCACATTAGAAAGACCAATTTTGTAAAGTTGAGTAGGAACCTTGAGTTACTCCCAGGTTGCTGGCGACCAAACATGTTGATCTACCACTAGCTACTAAGATGACTAAACAAATATTGACAATACCAAATGCTGGCAAAAATATTAAGCAACTGTATTTTTCTTACATTACTGGAAGAAATTGAAAATGATCAAACCACTCTATGGGGAAGGATATTCACCCAATACCCTTCTGATAAGGGGTTAATATCAAGGGTATACAAGGCACTGGTTGAACTCTACATGAAGAAAACATCCAATCCCATCAGAAAAAAAGGTGATGAAATGAACAGAAACTTTCTCAAAGAAAAAATCTGAATGGCCAAAAGGCACATGAAAAAATACCCTTCACCGCTAATCATTAGGGAGATACAGATCAAAACAAAAATGAGATACCATCTCATACCACAGAGACTTGCCCACATCCAAAAGAATAAAAGCAACCGGTGTTGGCATGGATGTGGGGATAAAGAGACTCTCCTTCACTGCTGGGAATGCCGACTAGCCCAGCCTTTTTGGAAAACAATATGGAAATTTCTCAAAAAACTATAAATTGAGCTCCCATTTGACCCAGCAATACCACTTCTGGGAATATACCTGGGAGATGCAAAAAAGTACAGTAGAAATGACATCTGCACCTCTGTGTTCACTGCTGCACTGTTTACAATCGCCAGAATTTGGAAAAAAAAACCTGAGTGCCCGAGAACAGATGACTGGTTAAAGAAACTTTAGTATATTTTACACAATGGAATACTATGCAGCTGTTAGAAAAGATGAAACCATGAAATTTGCATTTAATTGGATGGATATGGAGAATATTATGCTAAATGAAATTAGTCAGAGAGGGAAAAACATAGAATCACTGCACTCATTTGTGGAATATAAAGTAACATAATAGGAGACTAATACCTAAGGATAGCAGTGATAAGGGCCAGGAGGATTGCTCCACAGCTTGGAAACAAGTCTCACATGCTGGGGGAAAAGGCAGCTGAGATAGAGAAGGGATCACTAAGTAAATGATGGTTGGAGGGCTCACTCGGGATGGGAGGTGCGTGCTGAAATTAGGCTATGGACCAAACATGATGACTAACTGCAAACCTTAATACCCAAAAGGAGAGAAAGAGTAAAAGGGAATGTGCCTACCACAGAGGCAGGGGGTGAAAAGAGGTGGGGGTAGTGGGAGGGATACTGGGAACATCGGTGGTGGAGAAAGGTACTGATGGAGGGATGGGTATTCAAACATTGTATTACTGAAGTGTAATCATGAAAGTTTATAAGTCTGTAACTGTATATCATGGTGACTCATTAAAATAAAAAAAAATTTAAATGATGAAACTACTCTATTAAACAATTAGGCAGACTCTTGAAAAGTTAAATAAACTTGCTACATAATCAAACAATTCAATATTTACAGAAAAACATGTTCACACAAAACCTTGTGTATGACTGTTTGAAGTACATCAATTCAAGAGTGGTACATCTATACCATGGAATAACACTCGGCAATTAAAAAAAAGAACTTCTGACACACACAATAACTTGAGTGAATCACCAAAAGAAAAACTCTGTCCCAAAAGTTATAGTATAATTTGATTTATACCACATCCTTGAAATGACGAATTTCTAGAAATGGAGATCAGAAGTTGTTAGAGATTTATAAAGTGGATACAGGACAGGGAAGCAGATGTAATATAAAATCACAATATAAGAGACAGAACTTTCTTAACTATCTCTTTGTCAATATTCTGGCCATATTACATATTTTTGTTTTGACGCCACACCCAGCTATGCTCAGCACTTGCTTACTCCTGGTTCTGCACTCAGGGATCACTCCTAGTAGGGCTCAAGGGACCATAGTGGGGCCAGGGATGGAACCCTGGAACCCTGATCAGCTATGTGTAAGGCATGTGCCTTACCTGCTGTATAGTCTCTCCAGCCTCCTACACACTTTTACAAGATGTTACAATTGAAGGTAAAGGTAAAGGTAAAGGTAAAGGCCCTCCCGTTGATCATCAATTTGCTCAAGCGGGCTCAGTAACGTCTCCATTGGAGACTTTGTTGTTACTGTGTCTGGCATATCGAATACGTCACAGGGAGCTTGCCAGGCTCTGCCGTGCGGGCGAGATACTCTCGGTAGCTTGCCAGGCTCTCCGAGAGGGGCGGAGGAACCGAACTCAGGTCGGCCATGTTGGCTGCGTGCAAGGCAAACGCCCTACCGCTGTGCTATCGCTCCAGCCCTCAAATTGAAGGAACTGGCAAAGTGTTATTGGAATAGCCCTCACAATTGAAGGAACTGGCAAAGTGTTATTGAAATATCCATTATTCTCACAAATACATGTCAATCAACTATCTCAAAAGAAACATATATTTTTTAAAAAGGTCATATACCATGATTCCCTTGAATTATTACACAACCAATATGACAGTAATTAGATGTGCGTTAACTTGAGGTTGTAGGTAGGGGAGGACATATCTATAAAGGGGAAGGAAGCATGAGGCACTTTGTGGGTAATGAAACAATTCTCCATCCTATAGTTTAGTTATACCAATACCAAATCTCTGTTATGATCAAAACAGAAAACAAAGTCATTGTGCTATACACTAATTTTAAAAAATTGGGGGGGCTGGGAATATAGCTCAAAGGACTGGTGCACAAGTCTTACGTATGCTAGACCCTGAATTTGACTCTGGGCACCACAAGGTCAGCCCCCTAGCACTCAAAAGACATGACCCTGGTAAGCCCCAGCACTGCCAGGCAAACACTGGTCAGGCCTGCATTGTGGGCCCTGTAATGCCTCCTGGATTCCCAGACACCACTAAGGAGCCCCTATAAAAAAATAAACATTATCTGTAAGTGAAATAAACAGACAGATGGTAGGCTATAAGTATCCACATTATTTTTTTTGTCTCTTGGCCAAACAAAAACCAAAATCCAACTTGAAAAAGCTACTCCAGGAAAATAATTTGCAATACAAAAAGGTTATCTATTTCACTCCCAAATTATATTTTTCCATTATGTGTACAATCCACTGAGGAACATCATTGGAAATATATACAAAGAATGCATTTATCACCAGGCGATGGTTGAAGACAATCCCACCATCTACATGAAAACCTAACAAAGAAATGCCTTAAAAGGCAATTACAGGAAACATTTATTTCCCCGAGGATGTGGTATCCTCTCTCCAGATGAGTAAAGTAATCTACATTTCCCTCTGTCTGCAAAAGATTTGGGGCTATCATCTGTAAAACATAAATCCTTTGCTACATCCTAGATCTTCTACTTGTCTAACAATCTAACTTGGCCCTGATGTGCTAACTCTCATTTTCCATAATCCTAATGATTATTTACAATTTCCTATTTTATGTGAGATTCCTACATGGCTCATCTCATAGAGTAAAACAGGAACAGACAACATACTTACCCAGGTCTCAACCATTTCTTGCTCTTCTTGGGAAAAGTCAGAGATTTGTAAACCCTGAGCTGAAGAGTAGAGGAGGAGAGCATATGAGTAGTCTACTCAGGCTTTCAGTACCCATATTTATATATGTCTATATATAAAATGAGTCACTTTGAATATGTCTAATGTTCAGGACATTTGGGCAAACATATGGTTTTAACCACATATTTGTGACTTCTTTTTACTTACATGTTATGATTTCTTTTATACTATATTCCTTTTTTTTTGCTTTTTGGGTCACACCCGGCGATGCACAGGGGTTACTCCTGGTTTGTGCACTCAGGAATTACTCCTGGCAGTGTTCGGGGGACCATATGGGATGCTGGGAATCGAACCCGGGTCGGCCGCGAACAAGGCAAATGCCCTACCCGCTTTGCTTTCACTCCAGTACCACTACTATATTCCTTTTTTAATTGAGTCACTGTGAATTACAAAGTTACAAAGATATATGATTGAGTTTAAGGTATATTGTTCCGCCACCAATCCCTTTAGCAGCACCCACCACTCTACACCAGTGTCACCAGTTTCCCTCCCACCCCTCAGCCTACCTCTGTAGCAGGCACTGTCCCCCTTCTACATTGTCCTAGTGTTCCTTCCCTAACTTATCCCCCTCACCCTAGCCCCAGTGCCAAATTTATTGTAGGGTTGTGACCAAAAAAATTGTATTTCTAGGTATCTTCCTTAAAGAAATAAGATATTTTAATTCCTCTGTAAGGACCTCAGCATTTATTTTAACCATGCCATATATAGATCATCCTATATGACCCTTGATATGGGATTAATAAGGAAATACAAGGGGTGAAATGCTATGGAACTATTTAAAATCATATGTGGAATGGTACTTTGGGAGAGCATATGCTACCTAAATTTAGAAAAAAATCCAAGTTATAGAATATATTTTCAAGTTGAATTCCAATATCTCCTAAATGAATAAAATGGCAGATACTACTGCAGGGACCCATTTAAAATTAGGTATTAATAGTTTACAGATACATACCTTGTATAAAACCTCATAAACAGAGTGAAATAAGTTCCTTTAAACTTTCTTTTCTTCTATTTTCTGACTCATCTGTACTTCGAATGAAACGTTAAATGCCCCCAAACACTTCACTTTAAGACTAGTTACCCCCATGTTTTCAGCCCGATCCTCCCATGTCCCAAAGCAAGAAGTCCCACTCACCCATCCCAAGGTCTTGAGTAGCCCCAAGTCAGGTGAAGCCTTTCGGGTGCCTCTTTTTCCTTCTTACCTCGCTGGAGCCCTCTGGGCCGGAGCTGGAAATCTTTGAGTGCAGAATCCCTCTAAGTGGAGCATTCGATCCAGGCCTTACCTCGGGCTAGGGCGACGGGAAGGGGGTGGGGGGGAGAAAGACGCGGTGTCTATGAATATTTTACACAAGTCACTATGCTGGAAACGTGTGCAAACCAAAGTTTAATAAGCCTCACTCAATCCTGACCAGTCACACTTTAGTCACACAACTTAAGACCAGACCTTCATTCTTTTTTAAACTAACCTCTCGGTTCCCCAGTCTTTCACTCCTCAAGCCCTCTTAGGAATCACCCCCACCACCCACCACCTCCCTTCATTTTTCAAAGGTCCCTCTTCATTTGTTCTGAGCTCCCCATCACTTCTAGCACTTACCCACTGAGCCTCACTCGCACTCTCGACAATTTTTAGCGCCCGGTAGAGAAAACCGTTATAAGAATTGGCCCCTACAAGCACTTCCGTTTTGGGATCTACTCGGGCTCCGCAAGCAACAGGGCTGCAGAGATCGCTTGTGCGCACGCCCAGTATGAGTTTTGAGGGTCCCTCCGCCAAGAGTCAACATGGGGCCTCCTTCCGCACACCCGACGGGAAGATGACGGAGTCACGGAGCAGGCGCAGTGGAAGCTGGCCGCGCTGGTGACGTCATTTCTAGAGATGGTCACGCCCATCGTCTCTTTTTCTCTAGTTGAGACTGCCCTGTCGAGCAGGTATTCTTTACTTTTAGGGGACCACCATTTCTAAGATTTTAAAGACCAGTTTCCTAATGGCTGGAAGTGCCCAATTAAAGGAAATTTTATCAGGCAGTAGTGTGGTGTCTTGAACTTGGACATCAGCATCGGATTTGCAGGTGAAACTGTACAGGAAGACAGGGAGAGTCGCCAAACGGTTTATAGGGCACAAAGAATTGCAGGTAGATGAAGGTTACTAGCTCCACCCAGTGGCTAAACCTGGGAATTTCACAGTCTAGCTGTATGCAAACAAGGAACTCAGGAATAAGTGGCATGCACAAATCCTGGGAGGGAGGGGATTGTTAAGTAGTTCCTGACAGTGATAAACTGATGGGTAAGGATGATACCCTCTCATCACAGGAGACAATTATGGTGACCGAAAAAAATTGATAACATAGGTATCTCAAGGCAAAGAGATTTCTGGTGAAGGCACATCTGTTGCAAAGACACCGAAGTACCACCTAGATTGTCCCATTGAAGGAACAGAAATAGTCTGTCAGAAATGTAGGCGATGTAGACAAGGGAGAGTCGAGTGGGAGCCAAATTAGGGCTTTCTCTGTCATGGACAGCGCTCATATTTAATTCTTACATAATAGGACTCCATACAGGATCTGATTACATTTTAAAATATATAAGATACATATTTGACTCATGTCTTGCACCACCAGAACTCTGGAACAGACTGCCACTATTTGCATTAGTTCCCTTGGATATCCAGGTAGTGTTCTAAATATTGAGCAGAAAAGAATAGAACCAAAAAAACTGTACAGCAGGACATAGCTTGTTTTTCCTCATCTCTGTGCTAGTTTTAGGATGATGGCAGTACCTAATTTATTTGGTTGTAATGACAAGTAAATTGATAGTGGTGAATGGTTTAGAAAACTGCCTGGTACACATCAAGTGCTATGTTTGATTGTTGTTGTCATATAAAATTTGATGTATTTTTATATGACATATTTTTTTGGTTTTGGGGTAACACTTGGCAATGCTCAGGTGTGGTTTTCAAAATAATAGTGTGGGCATGAGAGGAACGAGAGCAGTCGGTGGCCAAGAGCCACCTCCGTAGGCCAGTCCATGGCAACGGACAGACGAAGGACCAGGAGAACAGAGAAACAGGGGAACTGGGCCCCAGGCTGGTTGGTAGTTGGGTTATTTCTCTCTTCTCTCCAAAGTAGTCCAATCTCTCCCCTTACAGCACAATCGCAGTTGAAGATTTGGTCGTAGTCCCAGTCATCCTAGTTCCATCATCCTTGTCTCCTCATAGACTTCAAAGTCCTCTCTACCCTTCTTACCCCTCACAGCATAGTTATATAGAAATCATGAAAGGCAGGGGTACACAAAAGTGGGGTTGAACATTGTCATAACAACAAACATGTAAAGCTACTCCTTCAGGGGAAGTTCTAGGGGATTGATTTATGGACAAAATCTTATCTGAGGGTTCAGCACTCCAGATTACTCAAAGACCAACTCAAAGGCAGGATTCCATCCAGGATGTATTGCTTTATACTTTCCTCAACTAGTAATCCATTTAAACAATCATAGTAAATTTACTTCTTATAATATTTCTTGTAATTTTGTATGAACACAGTAAGAGATATATTAAAGCTTAAAGGTTAACTCTTCCTGGGAACATCTCACCATACATCCCAGACTATAAGCCAGGCTACTCCTTCCCAACCCCAGCAGGGTCTCCATTCAGTTACTTCTTTTTGGGTGATGACAGAGTCTGTCCCATGACCATGTTCTTAACTAATTTATATTTATAGTGCTTAGTTTGTCCCCTTTTGATGCCAGGGTAGCTTACAGCTTGCCCTGGGTCCATCCAGTCCCTTCGTCGGGACCCTGCTTTTGGAGTGCCTGGAACTAAGAGCAACTGAGGCTTAAGTTAAGTAATTATGGATGCCCAGGAGTAAATATTATTTGTAGTTAATTAACTCCCATGTTACAAAAGCATAGCATAGCATCAACTGTATTCCTGTCTCTATACAAAAATAACATTGCTAAATCATGGAAGTGACATAAAGAAAAGAGAAAAGCAATGTAGGATTATTAGCGCTTGATGGAATTAGGTGTGCCTCAGGGGCACTGTTGTGGGAGTAACTCAATAAACCTAAGCTCCTTGAGGGAGGAGCAAGGAGAACTCAATATTATCCAACACTCATGGCTCTGTATTCAGAAATTACATCTGACAGGCTTGGGGGACCATATGGAATACCGGGGACCAAATCCAGGTAGGCTGAGTGCAAGGTAAAAGTGCCCTATCCATTGCACTATCTCTCCAGCCTCCGGATGTGTGTAAAACTTCTGTCAATAAAAAGGAAAAATAGAAGGCTAGTTTCTGGAGAACAGAACTGTTGTGAGTAAAAGCAAGGCACAAGAACTTGAGAGGAGTCTCTTAAACATAGGTCCAGCCATGTAACTGAGTACAGTCGCTGAGACCTAGCTCAGTATTTCCCATGTGCCAAGTACTGTATGGAGAACACGACATGTCCTGCCTCAGTCCCCATATCTATGAACAGTCAGTCCTATGAGTCCAATAATAAGACAAAGAAACTGAGCTGCAAACTCTAAATGAATTTGCCCAGGTCAATTCCTTAACTAATACTCTTTTTTTTGCTTCGTGACTTGATATGCCAAGAACTTTCAGAAAGTATCTGAGAGGCCTCGTTACAGAACCGCTAAAACTAGCCAATGAATTATTTATACCAAGAATGTTTCTACAATCTAGAAATTTCCCGCAGACAAATCAAAGAGAGAAATCACGGGAGTAACTCAGACCTCTTGCTCCCTGAAGGACAAACACCTCCCGGGTCTAAAACTTGTCAGCTCAGCTGAATGCGTTTAACAGGGATGGGGAATCTTCTTTCTGTCAGAAACCATTTGGATATAACATCATAAAGTATAGGTGTCTATATACAATATAGACAGGCTTGCCTTGTGCGGCTGATGAGAAACATGTCTGTCCTGTCATGTACCAGCACAAGACCACAGAATTTCGTGGGTCAGTGCATTAGATGTTTCCCACCCCTCCTTTAGAAAGAGAAAATTAGGAGAGCTGGACCTTCAGCACCCATCACAGCCTGGGCTCTTTCAATCGGTAAACTTCATTTCCCAGCTCCACCGCTCTGAGAAGTGGGAGGAGGGGTGAGAATATTTTAGGGATGATAGTTGTTGGGATTCAGTGATTAACAGCTTAATAAAGGCGTGAGGTTAGTGGGAGAAGGACTCAAAGGACTGGAAAACATGTTTTTTTTTGTGGGACCCCCAGGTATGATCCCTAGCACCGCACCATTACAGTACACACACAAACACTGCTAGATATGGCCCCCAAACAATACAAAAAACATGAACAAAATCAGAAATGTTCCCAAGTCCCTCAGAAATGATAACACAGTTCACATTTCATAACCACATCTAGGTGAGGCCAGATTTTCTGCAGAGCTAGGATCCTCTTATATCTTATATACTGGAGCGATAGCACTATCAGTCCCTACCAATGTAATTTCCTCATACAGTGGTCTAAGCAGCAGGTTACTAGATGAAGAGTTGTGGAATACTAGCAAATAGCTGATCCCACCACGGAATCTGCAAAATATGACATTCTCATCAAAGACAATTAGTAATGCACACATTTCACTGATAAGTTATCAAAATAATTGGTCTTAAGATGAATTTGGGGCTGTGGAGAAAGCACATTCTCTTTGTTCAAATTGGTACTGAAGTGTGGTTTTCAATGACAGATATATATTATTATATGAATGAACCCCACCATGTTTCACAAACCAAGTGAATGAAGCAAGATACATGAACCCATAATAAAAATGAACCCAGGGACTGGAGAGACAATACAGGAGAGATAGTACAGTGGGTAGGGTTTTTGCCTTGCATGCAGCTGACCCACGTTTATCCCCGGAATCCCATATGGTTCCCTGAGCCCTCCAACAGTAATCCCTGAGCACAGCGTCAGGAGTAATCCCTGAGCACTGCTGGGTGTGGCCCCAAAACAAAACAAAAATAACTCATAGGGACTAGAGAGATTATACAGCAGATAGGGTGTTTGTCTTGTACATGGCCAATCTGGGTACAACCCTCGGCACCCCATATGGCCCCCCATTCCTACCAGGAGTAAACCCTGAGTACCACTAGGTGTGACCCAAAAACAAATAAAAAAGAATCCATATGTAAAATTATTCCATTTATATGAAATATAAAGAAAAGGTAATTCTATAGAAGTAGATAATATTAGTGGTTGCTTGGAGTAGAGGGTGAAAAAGAGGACTAACAATAAATGAGCACAAGCACTGGAGAGGTAGAACAGTGAATAAGGAAATAGTCTTGTATGTGGCTGGCTGATGAGGTTGGATGCCCAGAACTTCATATGATTCCCCAAGCCACACCAAGAGTGATTTCTGAGTGCAGAACCAGGAATAAACCCTGAGCACAGCCAGGTGTAGCCCAAAACCCAAAAATAACAAATGAAGCACAGCAATTTTTAACAATGAAAATATTCTAAAATCTAATTTACAGATTGGAACAGCAACCTGATTTGTAGATTAACTAAAAAATTAAATCACATACTCTATATGGTGAATTATATATTTTAATGTATTGTGATAAGACTAAAAAAAGAGAGTAGGAAATGAGACTAAGATGAATGGAGATGTAGAAGGACTATAAGATGAAAAAACTTGAGTAATGAGAAGAGGTTAGTGAATGCGATCAAACATGAATTAATATAATTAAATTAGAGCAGGGTGAGTGAATGAGGAGATCAAAAGTAGAGCACAATTTGTGGTGACAAATGCAGCTAAGTGTTGAAATATATACTATATAATATTCATTATTATTCATTACAGCATATGGTTGAATGGGGATAAAATGGTGAAGAATCAAGTAAAATAGAGGGTAAACTGGGTACTCTAAGTGAAAGAGTTCTGGGGAATGAAGACAATGAGGCACAGAGGAAAGATATATGCTGGTCATATGAGGCTGGAGTGATAGTACAGCGGATAGGCATTTGCTTTGCAGGTGGCCAACCTGGGTTCGATCCCCGGCATCCCATATGGTTCCCTGAGCACCTCCAGGACTAACTCCTCAGTGCAGAGCCAGGAGTAATCTCTGAACATCACCAGCTGTAACCCTAAAAGACAAAAAAACCTTCTACCATCAGATGAGAGAAATAAAGAACGAGGTAGGTGACATAAAAAGTCAACAGAAGCTCTAAATAGCAGAATAATAGAAGCTAGGGGGGAAATCAAGAAGCTTTAAGAAGAGAAGGAGGAAACTGCTAGCAAACAACAGAAAGTGGAAATAGTCTGAAAATAAATGAACAGCATACCATATAGTTATGGGATAAGTTCAAGAGGAATAATATAAGAATCATCCGAGTTCCTGAAGAACAGGAAAGCAAAGGTGATGAAGAAATAATAGGGCTGGAACGATAGCACAGCGGTAGGGCGTTCGCCTTACAAGCGGCCAACATGGCCGACCCGAGTTCGATTCCTCCGCCCCTCTCGGAGAGCCCGGCAAGCTACCGAGAGTATTCGATATGCCAGACACAGTAACAACAAAGTCTCCAATGGAGACGTTACTGGGCCCGCTCGAGCAAATCGACGATCAACGGGAGGGCCTTTACCCTTTAGTTAAAGAAAATATCAACAGGAATTTCCCAAAATTGAGGATTACAGGCCTGAAAGGTCCTAGCGGAAAAAAAGATCAACTAGGAAAATGCATGACACAGTGTACTTAAAAGTGACAAAATCTAGAGATAGAATACTGAAAGTAGTAAAAGTAAGTAAAGTAAAGGCCCTCCCGTTGATCATCGATTTGCTTGAGCGGGCCCAGTAACGTCTCCATAGGAGACTTTGTTGTTACTGTGTTTGGCATATTGAATATGTCACAGGGAGCTTGCCAGGCTCTGCCGTGCGGGCGAGATACTCTCGGTAGCTTGCCGGGCTGAAAGTAGTAAGATAAAAAAATGAAACTTACATAAAAAGTAAATCCCAGTAGATGTACAAGATCTATCAAATGAAACTCTGCAGGCCAGAAGAGTATGGAAGGAAATAGCATAAAAATTCAGTGAAATTAAGACCTCATCAAGAATACTCTATCCAACTAGATTATCATAAAGACTTGAGGAAATAATCCAGAACTTCATGGACAGGCAACAGCTTAGGAAATTCATAGCCTTGAAATGAGCTTTTCAAGAAGTATTAAAAGACCTTCTCTAAAGGACAGGACAAACTTCCCAACATGTGGCACTGAGTATGGCACTCACTAAAGGTGCATATGGTTGCCCTCTACTAGATTAAGAAAGCTATTTTACACATTTTCAATAATAAATTAATGTCTTATTTGTATTGGTTAAAATCACTTAAAATCAAATTGAATTTTAATAATATATTTTCTGATAATCCCATTTTCCATTCCTTTAATTTTGTTGAAGAAAGTATAGAATAAATTTGTTATAGTCTTGCCAAGGAGGCAGGAGGTAACCTGGGGACATTGATGGAGGGAGGAGAGAAAACTGCTAAGAAACAGCACATGGTGGAAAATAGTCTTAAAAGAAAGGGGATTGGCCCATCAGAAAATGAGCAATGAAATTAATAGAAACTTTCTCAAAGAAGAAATTTGAACAGCCAAAAGGCACATGAAAAAATTCTCTTAATTACTAATAATAGGTAGATGCAGATCAAAGCAACAATGAGATATATCAACTCACTCCACAGAGACTGGCACATATCCAAAACAACAAAAGCAACCAGTGTTGGCGTGGATGTGAGGAGAAAGGGGCTGTCCTTTACCGTTGGTGGGAATGCCAACTGGTCCAGCCTTTTTGGAAAACAATATGGACGTTTCTCAAAAAACTAGAAATTGAGCTCCCATTTGACCCAGCAATACCACTTCTGGGAATATAACCTGGGGGCCACAAAACACACAGCAGAAACACCATCAGCACTCCTATGTTTATTGCAGCATTATTCACCATAGCCAGAATCTGGAAACAACCTGAGTGCCCAAGAACAGACAAATGGATAAAGAAACTATGGCACATCTCACAATGGAATACTATAAAGCTGTCAGGGAAAATGAAGTCATGAAACTTGCCTATAAGTGGATGGACGTGGAGAGTATCATGCTGAGTGAAATGAGTCAGAAGGAGAGGGACAAATGCAGAATGACTGCATTCATTTGTGGTATATAAAAATATATAGTAGAAGACTAATATCCATGGCCAGGAAAAACAAGGGTCAATGGTTGGAACGAACCACAACTGTGTGGGAGCCTGAGCATAGGTAAGATAGAGAGAGGTCAGTATGACAATAATAGCTGGGAATGATCATGCCTGACAAAATCTGAGGGAGGAGGAGGAGGAGGAAGAGGAGGAGGAGGAGGAGGAGGAGGAGGAGAAGAAGAAGAAGAAGAAGAAGAAGAAGAAGAAGAAGAAGAAGAAGAAGAAGAAGAAGAAGAAGAAGAAGAGGAAGAGGAAGAGGAAGAGGAAGAGGAAGAGGAAGAGGAAGAAGAAGAAGAAGAAGAAGAAGAAGAAGAAGAAGAAGAAGAAGAAGAAGAAGAAGAAGAAGAAGAAGAAGAAGAAGAAGAAGGCCTTACATAGAGGCAGGCAGGAGGTGGGAGGTGGGGGTAATGGGATGGAACCTGGGGACACTGCTGCTGGGAAATGTATACTGGTGGAGGGATGGGTGTTGGAACACTATGACTGAAATACAATCATGAATAGCTTTGTAAGGGTCTCGCAGTGATTCAATAAAATAGTTTTTAAAAGGGGGGGATTGGTGTTGAAATATTATATGCCTGAAACAAGTTTATTATGAGCATCTTTGTAAATCACACTGTCTTACTTAAAATTAGAAGAAAAATAAATAAAATATAACATATTTGATTCTTGTGTTTCTTTTGTATGTCCCTAGTTCCTCTCCCCATGTCTCTCTTAACTCTTTCTCTTTGTATTGGGTTCCTTCAACATCTATGTATCTTCCCTTATCTTTCCTTTTTTTGGTACATGTCCTATGACAAGAGCCCTGAGGGTGATGGTGGTTTGACTTCAGTGTCTCAGAATCTATCAATTGTTTGCTCATAGAATCAAAGTACCAAAGTGGTCTTGGTTCTAAACAATTTAGGGTAGCATCTGGAAGTAGAAGTCCTCTAGGAGGGCTTATTGGTAGCATAATGCAGGCTTGGGTCTCTGCTTTGGTGACCCTAATCATGATGATGGTTCTGACTACAGATACTAAGATCTATGATCGCTGTGAACTGGCACAAAAGCTGGCGAAAGCAGGCCTCAACAATTTCATGGGCTACAGCATTGGAGACTGTGAGAACCCTGTTGCCCCATGCCCTCCCTCCCCCATCTCTAGCTTACCACTACACCCAGGTTCAGTCCTCCCATTCCATTTGTTAGTCACTAGGCCAGGACATAATCCTCTTCATCATGCTGTCATTGACTGATAAGTGTTTTAACTAATAATAAGGTCACCACCATCATTAGCTTCACAATCAGCATCCTCATCACTACCATCAGCGCCATCATTAGTATTCATATCATCCCTGCTATTATCACCATAAATACCAACACTACTGTCATGACTGAGTTTTTATAACAATTACCAATATCAACAACCATTACCCCACAGCTGAAATGACAATCATGCCTCCCCAAGTCTCTAATCCTACCCTCTCCTCCTCCTATCCCCCATGCCGGTTACCAGCTATCCCTACTTCTTGCTGCAGGGCTGTGCATGGCACACTATGAAAGTGGATTTGATACCTCTTTCTTGAATCACAATCTTGATGGCAGCAGTGAATATGGCATTTTCCAGCTGAATTCTGCATGGTGGTGTGAAAATGGTATTACACCTACACATAACCTCTGCCACATAAGTTGTTATGGTGAGTGAGAACTGGGGATACCATTAAACCTTGCCTTACCCCCACTCTCAAAACAGGGAAGGGAAAATTGAAGACTCTTCAATTCCTTGTGAATTTTCCTGAGGTTTATTTTTCAGTTTTTAGTGAACTACTAGAAAAAGTACACTGTATCCTTAGTTCACTAAAATTGATCAAAATAATGACGATTCAGAGACCCCAAACTTCACCCAGAACATATTTTACAGTTTTCTGTAGTAGCAGTTGTCCTGTTTTAGCGTTGAATTTGTTCAGGTCCTGAGGGAAGAAGCAGGTCCTACTTGTGGAAACAGAAACAAGGTACCTCCATGTAGAAAGGAAATCACTTTCTAGAAAAAAGTGTGGTGCTATTGAGGACAAAATTGAATAGCAGTAGAAATTGTTCAGGGCTGGCCAAAATGGTGTTTGATATTAACCAAAATTAATTGAAAGAGAAGTATTATTTGGGTCAGCTCAAATGAGGTAGAAGCTGTTTGACTCCTTTCACAATGATAGAAGACAGTCAGATTTGTCAGTCTGAAGGTTGAGTATACTGACTACTAAAGAATTTTGGGTTGTTCAGGACAGAATACCATGAATATTGAGATAGTAAGACCAGCTGAAAGGAAGGTTAAGATTGTTCATTGATGCCAAATAGATGTTGATTTCCCAAAAACAGATTTGAGATCTTGGTCCAGTCAAATGGAGGCTGAAATTATTTACATCAAAATGGCTATTGCTACCCGGGACTGGCAACCATAAAATAGCAGTTTTCATTCATCATAGTACAGCAAACACATGATAGTTGAGGTTATTTTCGACCAGGTGCCACTATAGCTAAGGTAGAACAGGGCTAGTCAGTATGGAGACTGAGCTCAATTTTAGCGAGACAAAATGAGGTTTGAGTTTATTTATCACCTGATAACATCAGATTTGAAAGCATCAGGACTGACCACACTTGCAGTTAAGCATTTTCCCAAACAGCCAACATGTTGCATGAGGGGATGTAGTGCCAGCCACTACTACCATTGAGATCATTTACAATCATCCAGACCTGGCCAACAGAACCAGTTAACTTGGTATTGAGGTCAGTCATAAACAACAGACAAACAAATCAAGGTAATTAATAATTAGTCAAGGTGCCGGAGCAATAGTACAGCGGGTAGGGTGTTTGCCTTGCACGCAGCCAACCTGGGTTCAGTCCCTGGCATCCCATATGGTCCCCCAGGCACTGCCAGGAGTAATTCCTGAGTGCAGAGCCAGGAGTAACTCCTGAGCATCACTGAGTGTGACCTCAAAAGCAAAAAAAAATTTTTAGTCAAGTGGTTGTGAGTATTCCTAATGAAGTAGGAACCCCTGGATTTGCATATTCTGTCACTCTATTCCCTAAACACCAGATAACCAGATCCCTCTCTTCTCCCAGATCTGCGTAATCGCCATATTAAAGATGATATCTTGTGTGCAAAGAAGATTGTGACGTTACATAAAGGGATGAGTGCCTGGTAAGTTCAAAGGAGATGGATTGGGCCCTGGGCAGCTGGAAGAATGGCACTGTTTTCCCAAGAAGCCTACCCACTCTATTCTCCTTCCCTCCCTTCAATTCTAGGGATACTTGGACACAGTACTGTTCTGGTCATGATTTATCTGAATGGACCAAAGGATGTCATATATACTTAAAACCTCACTATAGGAAAAATGACTGGTGAGATAGATGCTCAGAGAAGGAGTATTTCTTCTTCTTGTGTGGATTTAATAAAAGATGGTATCCATAAACAATGTAAGAGACCTCTCTGATGCTTAACTCTTTACTTTTTCCAATGCCTGAGGATTCCAAATCACATCTTCCACATATTGAAATCTGTAATCTAGGGACACCAGTCAATTCTGTGTTGGAGGTAGAGGGACAGAGAGTGTGAAGCATAGTGTATGCTTAAGAGTTGAGAGTGTGAAGCATAGTGTATGCTTAAGAGTTTAGGTTCTCCTGTGAAGCATAGTGTATGCTTAAGAGTTTAGGTTCTCCTAGGTTCAAATATCATTTCTCCACCACTTACTAGCTGTGTTGCTTTGGACAAGGTACTTCATTTCTCTTCTTCAACTTTCTCTTCTTTAAAATCAGAACTATTGGGCCTGAGTGATAGCACAGTGGGTAGGGAGTTTACCTTGCATACAGCTGACCAAGATTCGATCCCTGGCATCCCATATGGTCCTGCCAGCACTGCCAGGAATAATTCCTGATTGCAAAGTCAGGAGTAACCCCTGAGGATTGCTGACTGTGCCCTCCACCAAAATATCAGAATAATTGGGGCTGGAGTGATAGTACAGCAGGTAAAGCACTTGCCTTGCATGGAGCCAACTCAGGTTTGATCCACCACACCAACATAATTGATCCCTTTGTGCTGAGCCAATAGTAAGTTCTAAGCACTGTTGGATGTGACTGCAAACACCAAAACTATAAGGTAAAATAAAATCAGAGGGAGGGATTATGATAGTAACTCTCTCGTGAGATATGGGGGGAAATTAAATGGAAAATTTTAAGTATTTAAATAATTGGTGCACAAGAGAGTTACAGATCTGGAACAGCAAGGGTAGGGATTAAAAAATTGGCTTCTCCCGGGGAGGCATGGCACCGTAGTTTAACGCATGGTCCATTCACTTTTCTGCCACAGCTGCTGGGCTCTGGATTAAGTCCTTTTGCCTCTGGAGCCATGGCCGTGCTGGAGAGACGCTCGTGGGGGGCAACTTGTGACCTCGGTAGGGCGTGAAGGACGAGCCGGTACCGCCCCCCTTCCCATGAGACTGCAGTTGCCCCTTCACTGCCGGCTCATACCTGGCTTTCCAATAAGCTCTGAGGAGGCGGCCACCTTGCTGCTGGGAGGGGGGGAAGGCGGAAGGGAGTAACACCCTTTCCCTCCTGGGGAGGCATGGTGCCGTAGTTTAACGCATGGTCCATTTACTTTTCTGCCGCAAGCTGCTGGGCTGTGGACTAAGTCCTTTTGCCTCTGGAGCCATGTCTGTGCCGGAGAGCCGCTCGTGGGGGGCAACTCGTGACCTCAGTAGGGCATGAAGGACAAGCCGGTACCACCCCCCTTCCCATGAGACTGCAGTTGCCCCGTCACTGCCGGCTCATACCTGGCTTTCCAATAAGCTCTGAGGTGGCGGCCACCTTGCTCCCGGTGGGGAGAAAGGTGGAAAAGGCAGAAAATGGACCATGCATTAAACTACGGTGCCATGCCTCCCCAGGAGGGAAAGGGTGTTGCTCCCTTCCACCTTTTCTCCCGCGCCCCCCCCCCCCCCCGGCAGCAAGGTGGCCACCACCTCAGAGCTTAAAAGAAAGCCAGGTATGAACCGGCGGTGACAGGGCAACTGCAGTCTCATGGGAAGTGGGGTGGTACCGGCTCGTCCTTCACGCCCTACTGAGGTCCTGAGTTGCTCCCCACAAGCGACTCTATGGCACAGCCATAACACCAGACACACAGAAACCAATCTCTAAATTATCTGGCTCTTTGCAGAAATCCAAAATTGGTGGCTGCAACAGTGGTCGCGCAACATTATATAATTCTCATAACCAGCTATAGAAAACAAAGTATTTCACAATGCCTTTTCAGCAATTCTGATTGTTGGGGGGGGGATTCTAAACAATAATGGTGCATCTTTTGTCGAAATGATGAATGTAATCAATGTAGAGAAGAGTTAAGTAGAAATCATCTGCCTCACATGCATTGGGTGGGGTGGGAGGAGGGGTATATTGGGTTTAATAAATAAAACTATGAAAAAAAATTAAGGTGGAGTTCATGCCCAATTCAATCAGCTAATCAGTGGCTGAATAAATAGCAGTACTCCTACATTAAAAAAAAAGGAAAAAATTGGCTTCTTCTTAAATGTATCACTTTCACCTGAGGTCATTAAAAGGTCTTTAATTAAGGTAGAAACAATCTTTTCTGGGGTGGGGGTGGAAATAGTACTTGTTCCACTGAAAACTTAGAGTATAAAGTAACTTTATTCTCCCGCATATTTCCACATTTTAGCATTCTTTCATGCCCCAGTCTATCTTTTATGATCAGTAACTTAAGTTTCAAACGACAAACTCGTCCCAGAGAGATAGCAGAGGTCAATTATGGCACTATATATGGTCCCCCAAACACCACCAGCATCAGTCCCTGAGAATCACTAGGTATGGCCCCCAAACCCCAAAACTTTTCCTTTGAAATAAGCCCAAGGGGCTGGAGTGATAGCACAGCTGGTAGGGTGTTTGCCTTGCACGCAGCCGACCCGGGTTGGATTCCCAGCATCCCATATGGTCCCCCGAGCACCTCCAGGAGTATTCCTGAGTGCAGAGCCAGGAGTAACCCTTATGCATCGCCGGGTGTGACCCCCTCAAAAAAAAGCAATAAATAAATAAATAAATAAATAAATAAATAAGCCAGAGTCCCAGTCTTGAGACAAGAATTGAAAACTTTGAATTTGTCAATTATTTCTCTGCTAGAGGTTACTTTGAAAGTAACCTCTAAGGTGAGAAAGTCTTTTTTACTCTCTTGTTGGAAGTGGATATTCCATTACCCAGAGTCATGTTTTCAGTTTCAATTTCATCCACAAGAATCACAGATAATAATTCAAACGGCCATCAGCCTCTGAATGCAGAGGATTGCCTGTGACTCCTTCCTTCCTTTTCACATTTTAGCATTTAAAATGTGGAAAGACCAGCTGTCTTTCCCCAGCCTTCAGCCTCAATCATTCCAAATAACAAAACTTCACACCTCCCTGGACATCCATAAAGGGTGCCCTCCCTCTGTTGCAACAATTTGTTATTGTGGTGGTTATTCATCAAAAGCAGCATAGATACAGTGAGGTATGTGCATTATTTATCAACAAAAGTGGGGAGACATGGGGAGGGGGGCTGGCGCCTGTAGCAGCAAACATAAATTCTGGTAAATTTAAGTCAGAAGCAGATTTCATAAGAGCCTCTCAGGTATCTCATAGTATTTCTAGGAAGAAAACATAGCCAAGCTCAAAAAGGCTTTGATACACACATGGATACACATGCTAAACTTCGGAGCACAGAACAATCTGGGCCAGAAAATGTTGCTGATTTTTGGAGCACTCTGCAATTTTTTAAAAAAGATGAATTATGCCTTTTTTGACAAAAGTGGATATAACTTTAGGTAATTATGCTAAGTAAATGAATAATGAAGTGAAAAGCAATTATCAGAAACACGTGAAATATGAATTACTAGATCAAAGAAACTGGCAAGAAAAATGTTGCGTGAGTCCTTACATTGATGTTTAAGAACAAACAAAATTAGTTTGTAAAGGTAGAAGTTATTAAAAACTGATTTCCCTTGAGTCTGACAATATTGAAAGAAGGTTTCTGAATGCCTTGATAATTTCTGTTTCTTGATTCAGGTACTGGTTAAATAAGTGTTTTCAATTTATAGAAATTTATGCAACTTCAATAAAAATTTATTGAAAATTTCTCTTCAATATAAATGTCTACCTTAAAAGATAGTCTGGTCATGGTCCTCCCGTTGTTCATTGATTTGCTCAAGCGGGCCCAGTAACGTCTCCATCGTGAGACTTGCTGTTACTGTGTTTTGGCATATCAAATACGTCACAGGTAGCTTGCCAGGCTTTGCCATGCAAGCAAAATACTCTCGATAGGATGCCAGGCTCTCTGAGAGGGGCAGAAGAATCGAGCTCAGGTCGGCCATGTTGGCTGAGTGCAAGGCAAACGCCCTACCAGCTGTGCTATCGCTCCAGCCCACCTTAAAATATATATATATATTTTTAATTTTTATTAGTGAAACACCATGAGGTACAGCTGTAGACTTAAAAATTTTTGTGCTTGGGCTTAGAACTCTGCGTAACACCATGTACAAAAGTAAGATCAAAATGGATTAAAGACCTCAACATCAGACCAGAAACCATAAGGTACATTGAAGACAAAGTTGGAAAAACCCTCCATGGCATTGAAGCTAATGGTATCTTCAAAGATGTCACACCACTGGCCGAGCAAGTGAAAACAGAGATAGATAAATGGGACTTTCTTAAACTAAGCAGCTTCTGCACCTCAAAAGAAACAGTGACCAAAATACAAAGACAGTCTATAGAATGGGAAAGGATATTCGCCGAATACACATCTGACAAGGGGTTGATATCAAGGATATATAAAGTACTGGTTGAACTCCACAAGAAGAAAACATCCAACCCCATCCAAAAATGGGGCAATGAAATGAACAGAAACTTTCTCAAAGAAGAAATCCGAATGGCAAAAAAGCACATGAGAAAATGCTCTACATCATTAATTATCAGGGAGATGCAGATCAAAACCACAATGAGATACCATCTCACACCTCAGAGACTGGCCCATATCCAAAAGAACAAAAACAACCGGTGCTGGCACGATGTGGCGAGAAAGGGACACTCCTTCACTGTTGGTGGGAATGCCGACTAGTTCAGCCCTTTTGGAAAACAGTATGGATGATTCTCAAAAAATTAGAAATTGAGCTCCCATTTGACCCAGCAATACCACTCCTGGGAATATATCCCAGAGAGGCAAAAATGTATTGTCGAAGTGATATCTGCACTTGTTTGTTCATTGCAGCACTCTTTACAATAGCCAGAAACTGGAAAAAACCTGAGTGCCCAAGAACAGATGACTGGTTAAAGAAACTTTGGTACATCTACACAATGGAGTACTATGTAGCTGTTA